TCACTGCTGACGCACCTGCATCACTGCTGACGCACCTGCATCACTGATGACGCACCTGCATCACTGATGACGCACCTGCATCACTGCTGACGCACCTGCATCACTGCTGACGCACCTGCATCACTGCTGACGCACCTGCATGTACTTGTTACCAAAACATCAGCTAATTGTTTGTTTTATAAAGAAAACAAATGATTTAGGGAAACTTATCACAGTAGTCCTTCGCTACTTTGCAGTTTGTTTATCGCGGATTTTCAAAATAAGAGTCGACATGACACAATTGTCTGATTGATGGATGAGCCATGGGTTCTTTATTTAAAATAAAATATTTTAAATGATTTTACACCATGTGTGCAGCCCACAAGTGCAGGGGAAGCTCCCTCCTGCAGCTGATCAGCTGATCTCCTTCTCTGCCACGCCCACATTTCTCCTGCTGCAGCTTTGTGAATGTTAACCCTTTACTGTCCAGATGCACCCATCGACTTTTGTCTTCCAACTTAAAATTCAAAATATGTCACATCATAAAATTGGGAAACCCATGCTGCATTGATTGTTTATTTAAAAAGTTACAGTATTTAAATTTAAGTTGTTAAAAAAGTTACAGTATTTAAATTTAAGTTGTTAAAAAAGTTACAGTATTTAAATTTAAATTATTAAAAAAGTTACAGTATTTAAATTTAAATTGTTTCTTTAAGGAGAGAGGTTGGGAGGAACAGGTGATGAGGGAGATTGCAGCCTGACGTCATGACAAACTTTACTGAACTTGAACTACTGTCTCTCTACTTCGCGGTTTTTCACTTATCGCGGGGGCGTGGTCCCAAACACCCGCGATAAACGAGGGACTACTGTGCTCCTAAATATGGTTCGATCTTATTTTAAGTTCAAGCTATGAACGAATACAGTGTGACCTAACAAACAACACAAAATGATGTTGCATTTTTGTTTTTGAGCTCTGGCTAAAGGAAAGAAAGTGATTTCTTGTACGTTTAGTTGATGGTTGTCCATCAGGTGGTTCTCTGAGTTCCTCCCACTAAATGATTTGACTGTGGAATAACTTCAGGCGTGTCTTGATTGAACAGCTCTGTTTGGTCTTGTCCAAGCATCTCGTTGAGATAAATGTCAGAACTCCAGGATTTCACACGTTCTGTTTTTGATGTACTTATTTTTTAATTTTTTTTATTTTGCATGCTTCATGCCTCAGTCAGCCTCCACTGGACTTCAGATTATGAACTTTTGCGTTATTTTTTCATGAAAGTCTTCGATAAGAAAGAGGATTTCTTTCATTTCCTCAGTCAGTGCAAGGCCTGCAGGTCTCTGCTGTCTGTGTGCGTTCATGTGAAAGAGGTGCTCGATTTAGCTCTGCACTGATTCGTGCTGTGCAAATCACTTCATTGATCAAATTAAACATGTCGTTCATTAAATATTCACAGAAGCTGCTACTGAATGAAATCTGCATCTAAATGTAGGTCACAGGATGATTTTTAAAATAATTTGGTATTTAATTTAAATCTTGCAACACCGGGGAGTTCTGTTTTAGTATTTAAAGCTTTTTACGCAGCTGTCATCGTTTCAGTCCCATTGTTGTGTCTGGGATGGTATCAGAACCGAATCAGTGAACGGGCTGAGCGTCTCACAGACAGACGACTGAATCTCTCGGCTCATAACCTGCAGGTTATAGGGTTAAACCTCTGTTACCATGGCAACGTACCTGCACCCAAACTGAAGCCCCTCGTGATACTGAAGACTTTAAACACATCCGGCTGATCTGTCTCCACAGTCTAACCCTCACATCTTGTTTTGCAGAGTTGATTTTTCTGTTAAACAATATTTTATTGTCAGGATGTGCTGGAAGAAGCCAAACATTGACAAAGGGGCAGGAAATAAACAGAAGACGCAGAGAAAGGACAGAAAGCACATGATCTGGGCTGGATATCAACACTGAGCTGAACTAAGACCTAAACTCAGGACGAGTTGACTGATCTGCCAATAAGAGCCCGATGTACGAGGAAAGTAGAGAAAATAGCTAACTGAACGAGCCCAAGACAAAAAAACATGTAGTTTACAACAAGCAACAATAAAACCCACAGTTCTTCACGTAAACATTACGTCATACTGTAGATCCGTGTGTATTAATGGTTTCTGTAAAAAGATTTAATAACTTGTTCTTTCACGTCTGTTTGTGCGCAGTAAGAAGCGCAGCTCCTTGTTTCGTAAGATCACCAAACAGTCCAACCTCCTGCACACCAGCCGCAGTCTGTCGTCCTTGAACCGCTCTCTGTCGTCCAGCGAGAGTCTTCCTGGCTCGCCGACACACAGCCTGTCCGCCCGGTCCCCGCCTCAGGGCTACCGCTCCACCCCTGAGCCCTCACACCTCGGTACGCTGCTGAAAACACACGTTGAATCAGTCTGCAACGATCCTGACGTTGTCGTTGTGTCCTCTGCTCCGTGCAGGTGCGTCGTCCCAGAGCAGCTCTCCGACCTCCAGCACTCCCAACTCCCCCTCCCCCTCTCAGCACATGAGGCCCAGCTCTCTGCACGGTCTGTCCCCAAAGCTCCACCGCCAGTATCGCTCTGCTCGCTGTAAGTCTGCAGGTAACATCCCGCTGTCCCCCCTGGCCCACACTCCTTCCCCGACCCAGTCTTCCCCTCCACCCTTGCCAGGCCACACCATAGGAAGCTCCAACACCACCCAGTCCTTCCCAGCCAAGCTCCATTCCTCACCGCCGGTGGTCCGTCCCCGGCCGAAGAGCGCCGAGCCCCCGCGGTCACCTCTCCTCAAGCGGGTGCAGTCAGCAGAGAAGCTAGGCTCACCTCTGACCCAGTCCAGTTCTACGGGAGGGCTTGGAGGCCCGCTCAGGAAGCACAGCCTGGAGGTGCAGCACTCGGAGTACCGCAAAGACGCCTTCCTCTGTGAACTCGGCCTCCAGAGCCTGTTGGAGACAGATGGAGAAAATCTGCCTCCTAATCCGCCCCCCTTGCCCTCATCCTCCATAACCCCAGAGAGCGGCGTGCTGAAGCCTGCGAGGAGACTCGGGAGGCAGGAGTCGCCCCTCAGCAGGGAGGCTCTGCTGGCTGGGAGGGAGAGGGAGGAGCGGGAGAGGGGACGAGACCGGGAGAAGGAAATCCGAGTCCCAGGACCACAGACCACCACAGCAAGAAAACCTCACGCAGGTGATTTTAACTCACACACGTCCACACACCGTGACGAAACCACCAAAGTCCCGAGTGGACCAGAGAGGCTCTACCAGAGTCAGGCAGCATCACCTCACACAGAACCAGGGTCCAAAAACACATCATCCAACAGCAGAACTGTCCAGGAGAAGCAGCAGGGGGGTAAACCTGAACCAAGACAGGAGGGGGACACCAAGAGCCGGTGCTGTTTACCACCTGCTGCCTCCAACAGAACCTCCGCTGCTGCAGGAAAATGCACCGACCCCGCGGTGCCAGGAGCTCCTCTGAGCTCCAACAGAGCTTTCAATAAACCTTCAGGTGCAGGAAACAGTCTGAGGAAGGTCGACTGCAGCGAATCCAGGTCTCCAGACCTCGGCTCCAAAAGCCCCAATCCCCCAGCTCGGCTCCTGGCTCCGGTGGTCCCCCCAGCTCGGGTCCTGGCTCCGGTGGTCCCCCCACATGGGACGCCGCTCTCGTTGGGTAAAGTGAGGCAGGGCCTGGGCTCGGTCAACTGTTACCGAGGAACCCTGGACTGGGAGGACAAATGTCGCCTGGAGGTGGTGGAGGAGCACTCCCCCTCTCCCTCCCCATCGCCAACAGCAGTCACCCCCTCTCTCTGCGGACCCTCCCTGTGTAAGTCGCGGCCCGTTTCGCCCGGTGACAAGACGAGCTTTGTCAGCCAGCTGACCACAGTGGCCAAGAACGTCCTCGGCCCGATCAAGCTGGGCTCCCAGGACGGAGCCAGGAGCAAAGAGCTGCAGAGTAAAGCCTCCGAGGAGAAGCAGGGGAGCACCTCAGGGAAGTGTGATTCTGCAGCTGGGGCCCGGGTGGCTGCGGGGGCCACGGTGGTGAGCCAGAGTCCTGCTAGCACCCCCCTGGAGAAAGCTGCAGCTGGAAGCAGCCTTCCAAAAATGTGACCCCATGGGTCTTTTAACCACAAAATAATCTTTCTGTTGCTTGGAAGGACAAGAAAACAGAAGACAAGCACTTAACAAGTCGTGTACATTCCAGTTTCTTAGTATATAAAGTGTTATTTATCCATTAAAGACTAAATCCTACGTGAAATAAGAAGTAAAACTGTAAACTGTTGGTTTTCTATTCAGAATCATTTATTAAGAGTCTTAAAGACGTGAAACTATCAGATGTTTGTGCTTCAGTGTCAGTGCATGTTCCAAAAGTATCGGCTGTGCGTGGCTAAAACGTGCAAGAAGAGCTTCACACGTCGAAACGTGCTGAAAACTGTGAACACCAAACCAGGCCGACACCTTCAGCCACAACTTCCTGTTTCTGACCTGAAGGGACGACGAGACGTTCACAAGGTGATGTGGACACGAAACAACACACACGTCATGAAGAGACACACACACATGTCATGAAGACACACACTTCATGAAGACACACACGTCATGAAGACACACACA